CTCTCTCCTAATCTCGAAGAATCTGACAGTTGCTTTAATCAAAGGAGTTTACACTGGTTCTAAAGGAGTTTGCGCTGGTTCTTCATGGAGCTAATTTAAGGAATTTTAAACATGTTTCGGACAAAACAAGGCAATATGGGCCTATTTCTGATCTCACGGCCCGGGGATGATTTCTCCTGCAGCTCGAGGAATTAATCCCGTGTAAATGTGGTTAGGATCAACCTTCTGATGGGGATTTTACTTGGCAGTAGCCTGTGAAGACACAGTGTTTTGGCAAGAAAAAAAAAAAAAAAAAAAAAGCGGCTCTGCCAAACGTACTCCGATTTCCATTCATTTGCGTCCCAGGGCTAACTTGTAGTCACCTCTGCATGCTAACAGAGATGTAAGGTCTTCACCAGGACGCGATGACGCGATTAACTCTAGGTCTGCTTCAAGGGTGGGTGCCGGCCAGGCTGGCGGGCGGCTCGCTGTCCTCCCCAGGGACCCCCGGCCGCCGCCCCGCCGCGTCCTCCGCTCAGCACGCCCGGGCTCTCCGAGAGGGGGAGCGACCACGGCGAAACAAGTGCTCCTAAACTGAAGCGCTTCTCCGTTTCTCCGTAAAACCAGATGAAAACCTGCCCTTGAGCCCGGTGGGAGCGCGGTAAGGCAGAGTTCCCTGACACAGAGAGAGGAGCTGATCGCAGTACGAAATGGAGAGGGGAGGGCAGAAGGAAGAGTCTGCGCCCTCCCGCCCCTTTGCATCTGTTTGTCTTGCAGTTATTCAAAATGATTGAGTTTTCTGAAGAAGGTCCTTTAGAGAGAGAACAAAAACAGCAACAATCTCTTCCTCCAAAAACAACAAGAATATCAAGCTGTCCACTGGTAAGGCTTCGGAGCTTAGAGGCATTATAGTAAAATTTATGGTGTCCTTAACAACTCCCAATAAAGGCATTAAAATTCCCTTTAATTGAGAAAACATTGATTTTTAACTCTGGAAAGAACGAATCCGTAATTTAATTGCAGGCTTTCACCGACAGAGCAGCATCTCAGGGAGGCCACATTCCATCTTTAATAGAGCCACTTTATGAAGTGATAAAAACAAAGAAAACCTGACAGAGACAGTTACAATTGCGCAAGAAAAGTTATCTGCTTTCCTTTTCCCTCTTCGCAGCTCCAAACTATCGTGCTCTTCCCTCCCCCTTCGTCCCCCAAAACACAAAACACAAGTGTAAAAGCAAAGAGTTTGGGGTCCAACGGAGAAGCAATAGTCAATATTTCAAATAACGATTTGCTTTTACTAGGCAAGGAATGATGCCAAGAGGTTTAAGGGAACATTTTCACAAAATGGTAGCCTTTTCTGCAAAGGATAAAACCTCCTTACTTTTCCTTGTTGGTTACAAAAATCATTGCTAAAAGGAAGGAAAGGGAAATCCCACACTCCCTTTCTATCTTATTTCAGTATCGGTTTTTGGTATTACAGAAGAGTAAAGAAGTTTTTGTTTGGTGGTTTTTCATTGATCAGTCACTCTGAGCTAATGTAATTATCCTCATCAATAGAAGGCTGCAGAGAGAATCATTATGTGGGTGACATTGATAAATGATCACCCAAGAGCTGCCTTTTCTCTTGGGCACCCCCACATATGACCCTCCCACATACACAAGGTAGCCATAGAAACACCTTGAGATCCTCAAGCACTGCTGCAAACGGGAGAATACAGAGAAAGTGAGAGAAATCCAACTTCACACACTTTCTCTCCCTGTTGAAGCCTCCTTCCCATAGCACGGAGCCACCGAGCCGGGCTGCACTGTCCCGCACTGTGGGCACGCAGCCGGGTCCCGGCCCTGCACCCTTTCACGCCACCATATGAAGTACTGGGGGGGAGGGGGAACTCTTATGGGGTTTGCCTCTGGCTTTTTTTTATCTGTTTTTTCCCCTTTCTTTCTCTGTAAAAGTTAAGCAATGAGGTTGCACGCACCATACGTATTCTACGCGCATTGCGTAACCCCCTAGTTTGAAAGTCGCTCTTGGAGATGCGCACCCACGATATTCACTCGTCCCCAGCAGTGAGATTCTTAGAAAAATGGTTAAACTCAAATTAGTAGCAGCGATTTTCTTCAGTCACAGGACTATACAGGAAGATTCTGTATTTCTTGCGACGGCGAAGATTAATTTTTTTTTCCCTCCAGCTGCAACCCCCCTTTTTATGTAAGCAAATTCTAAAATATTGAGAGCAGTAATTGATTCATAATGATCCATAAATCCTTGCAAGGAATGGGGCGAGGGTGCTTGGGGGGGGGGGCTTTTTTATTATTATTATTATTATTATTATTCCTAAAGCCGCAAGTAAAGTAGGTTTGACACCATGTGGGGATGAAGGGGAGGAGTTGTTTAGCCGTGCGGGGTCATCCATCATCACTGTCGCAGAGACTCTGCCCAGAGGAGCAACCTCCCTTCTGTCTGTCTCTTTCTCGCCACCAAAACTATTAATATTAAAATCTGCCTGCAACCCTTGCCCCCACCCTCCCCTCATCTCGCCCGGTCCTGCTCAGCCAGCAGCGGCTGAGCTGCCCAACCTGGAGCTGGCTCGCTTCCGCGCAGCGCCAGCGGGGTTGATTTTTCCCCAAGTGCTGTCAGGAGAGTTAAAATTCCGGCCCCGTTTCCTCTCAGCCGAATCCAGGGACGTGGTAGGGGCGACCTGTGGGGCGCAGACACCCTCCTGCGCAGCGGAGCCCTCTCTTGCCCCTCCGCGCACCTCAGCGACGCGGTCGCGCCTGGGAAAAAGATTCGGGCGTTTTCCTGGCTCCATGGGGTTTCTTCCCAGCACACGCATCAGGGGTACAGTGGGGCTAGTGGCTCCAGATCGGCCCCCGCAAAGGCGCCGCTAGGAGACCCTCATTCCCCTCGGGAACCCTGGAGAGCCGCTGGAGGGATAGGCGAAACCCACCGGGAGAGCGGGTCCAGCCTGTGCCCCCGTCGCAGCCCTTTCCCTGCCCGGCCCGGCCCGGCCCCTCCCCGGCCCCCCCCCATCCCCGACCCTCGCAAACCTGGTTGGGGGCAATTCTCTCTCTCTCGCTCTCTCTGCGGCTATGAGTGAAAGGGAGGCGCGCCTGGCTCCCCCCGGCATCTCCTCTTCGGCCCCGCGGTGCCCGCTCGCTGCGACGGGCAGGGCTCGGGCGGCAGCGCTGCCGGAGGTGCGCTCCCGTCCTCTCCTCGCTTTAAAGGCATCAAAATCTGGAAGAAAAATCCCTCATTTATGGTGACTACAAGTCCCAGCCCAGACCCGATCGGCAAAATGGAAATTTGGGATTATAAACATGTGTGTATGTAAACAAAAGGTGTTTCTTCTGTTACCCTTCTTTTCCCACAGCATAAGCAATTTTTATTCAGACTCGAGTATTTTCTTTAACACTATACCGCTGTCAAAACATTATTCCCGTTTTGTTTGCTTTTGACAGCTGAGCGGTTCTTAAAAATAACAAAATCGGAACCTTCCATGCTAAACAGTAAATCTCAGATGGAGAAATCTCTGCACGATATTGTACCTTGGATTTCAGCAAGACATCTCACAGAAAGCACAGCCCAAAAGGGTGAGAAAAAAAAAACAGAAAATAAAAGACAAAACACAGCAATGCACATATTTAGCTCATTATAAAAACAAATAATGTACTATGGATAAATTCTTCCCTGCCCTTCTACCAGTGTGAAGACGTTTTCTGACATTTCCCCTAAAACTGTAGAGAAAAGATCTGCAAGGAAATAAAGTCCTGATTAAAAAAAAAAAAAAAAAATTCGAAAGCCTCCCCTTTAAGGTGCTAACACAAATAATCTTGCCTTCATGTTTTCCGCATCCACAAAAATCAGAGAATTTGGAAAGAGGAACCCAGGGTGTGCTCTTCTTACATGATTGAAGGGTTGATATGATTTTAACCAGGACAGAGAGTAACAAAGCCAAGCAGGGCATTATCATCTTAATTTCATACGAATGCCTCATAAAAGACGCCCACAAAACAGGACCCGAGTGCTAAATAAATCCTCACACCCATTCTACTGGCAACCTCCCTTCTGTTGCGAGCAGCGTGGGTCCATTTACTCAGCTCAGAAACTGAACATTCACTCTGAGGCTGAGCCTTTTTCTACATTCCAGAGGTAAAAGTTGTAACTCAAAGTTTTCAATAACACCCTGGGTCAGTGGGAATGACGAGGAGGAGGAGGAGGAGGAGGAGGAGGAGGAAGGAAGGAGAAGGGTTACAAATTTACAGATGCTGAAGTCAATAATTTTTGTTTCCTAGAAAGTTTAGGTAATTACAAGCCCTTTCTCACTCCTCATCTCCCTGAAATAAAGGCAGTTTTCCCCTGCTCTTTGGGCCCCATCCTGCTCTTGCTGACTTAACCATGCCACCGAGGACAGTGAGAAGCTGCTGAGTTTTTTGGGTTTTTTTTTTGTTCGTTGTTTTCTTTCTTCTGAAAACAGCTGAAGACAAGAGAAGCTGTAAAAACCATCTCAAAAGCAAGATTACACAATCCTCACACAGGAAAAATTCACATTAAACTCAAAGCTTCTTTTCTCCTCCTAAAACTTCCAAACATACTCCTGTAGAAAGGCCATTCTTCACCTCTGAGTTAAATACCTGGAGCTAAAGTCTGTGGTGCTTATGAATGCACACACACATACATGTAACACACACGGGATTAGTTGTCTCATGTCTGGGCCTTCACAACTCAAACTCAGCTAATAAGTTATTAGCAGATAGTATGGGTATTAGACACATCGCTCTGAAATGCAAGCTGGTGAGACAATATTTCAGATTTTGCTTAGTCTGGTATAAATCTAATATCAATAATCAGCAGAAATATATAACCTCAGATGTTCTTTCATTCAACTATTCTATTAATGCCATGACAAGCTTGTTTCTGATTTTTCCAACCTTTCTTCTCAATGCTGATAAGAAATGTGTTCAAGACATATCTCATGATAGCTTCACATTATCCTAAACATGATTAAAAACACAAAAGCCTAACA